CCCCAAAACCCCAAAACCCCAAAACCCCTTATATTTCAAAAAATGTTGAAAGTTTTTAATTCTTCTCCAAATCCCTATAAAACAAGGCGAACCTCTGCTTTCAACAGTTCCTTGAACTCTGTTTTCCCTCGTCCATCAACCTCAAAATCCCACCATCAGTATCGCAGTCAAACTATATTCTGCAAACTTGGATACAAAGAGACAATTTAGAGTTGAACACATTATGTAATAAGCATAGTATCTTCATTAAAACATAGAGATTAGTTATGCCAAATAACTCTCAATGAGCCTTTTTAACATCCCAGACTTTATTTATTCAGTAATTTAGGTTTGCCAGTCTACCAATTTGAGTGACCTCTAATCATGAATATTGACTTCGACTAATAGAAGATGTTAGAGTCTAACCATACTAATTATTGACCACCAAATGGTGCTCTTAAGTACCTGACGATCTATTCACCAAAACTTTGGGCAGATAGTGTCCAAAAACCAAGTCTATAGTTCTGGACAATCTGTAGTAAAGCACAAGGAATAGTGAGGAAACTGACTGTAAAATCCTGAACTAATGAAAACAGGTTGGTGGCGAAATGACTGCAAAGCTCGATTTTAGAAGTCTCTAGTCTGATTAGTAAATAAGGGATGGGTTGGAGGCAAGTTGAACTAACCAATACCAATATTCTACCTGTTTGGCGAATTCATGGGGTTTTAAGAAGATGGGATGTGACCAAATTACTAAAGATTATTTCTGAAGCAATCAGTTTGCATATTTTTGAATTCATATGAGGGAGAATTCGAATGAGCTCAAGGTTGGTATTTTAGCAAACTAAGAATTCAGGAAGTCTGTCTTGAAAAATTCAAAATTTTAAAGCAATACTTAATGCTGTCTTGCAAAGTTATTCTTATGCTAATGTTCAAATGTCCTATTTCTCAACCCTCTTATAGAATATCTTGTCACATTATAATACCAAGAAAGAGTTTCCACTAAATTCCGACCCAACTGAGCACCAAACTAATTATTACAATAACACAAGAATTTTAATCATCAAAATAGTTTGACTTTGGGTTTGATTTCCCACTTCGATAAATTATTCACCCTCTCGTGCTATTTCGCTACTGATTTAGAAAGCAGAATTTGGTAATATATAATATTACGGATGGTCAACATATCTTTTACCATATTTTTAGGGGAAGCTGGACGAATTTTATAAATGCATAATAATTAGATCCTGATTTAAGTGAAAGTTTAAAATCAGCCCCAAAAGATATACCACAGTTATCCGGAGTTAGGAATGAGGTAATTTCAGATGCTGAGAACTCTGGATAAATATAAATAATGAAAGTTCGTTTAAAAGTGGTCTGGAGTATGCTTGGCCCTGCATATAATTTCAATGAAATTCCATTTATTTCTCATATTATTTTCATCAAACAATCAGGACAGTAATTTTAGGGAGACTTCTGACAATATTCTATCGTTTTAAATAAGTCAGTGTGTGCCCTAGCTTAATAATTTTGGTTCTAGAAGCCATCATGGAAAAATCACAGAAATATATCTTTTATGATACCAATGAGTTGATAAAAATTAATTGTCTGCAAAGAATAGAAGAAGCTTGAAATGATATCTGATGTTTTAATGAAGCTTATCTTCTATTGCAGAACAGGATAAAGATGCATTTTTAATGAAGAGGATGAAAGATGATCCAAACACTTTCTGGATTAATGTCTCTTCTTAAATTTCATAATTAGGTATTCTAAAAGTTATTGGTTATTATAATACACGACTGAAGCGGGAAGCCAAGGATTTTAACTCAACCCAGAGATGGAATTGCAAGAATATTAATCACAAATAAACAGAAATGCTCTATAATTATTGCTAACAACTAATTTCAATATTTTTGCAATTAAATGGGGTTTTGGGGTTTTGGGGTTTTGGGGTTTTGGGG